TGATGTGGTTTGAGTGAAAGTTTACAAGAAATAGTATATTTTCAATTGATCATTCATAGACATTTTATTCCATGATATTAATCACAATACACAAAGTGTCTGATCATCTGTTCACATGGTTCAAATCCAGCAGCTGCTCTGCAGAAGAAAGATGGACAGTCTCCTCCCATATGTTTAAATTGCCTCTCAAAGCCTGCTGCAGGGTCAGCTATGTGATTGATTCCAACTCAGTGGTGTACAACAACAATACAATTTAATAAATGATTGTTATTATTACTGTTATTATTGTTGTTGTTGTGTACCATAGAGTCAGAACCCACCCATAGCTGACCTTCCAGTGGATTTTCAGACGCAGTTAATTACAACTTGCACAGGGGGAAATTACCCATCCTTTTCCTGCAGAGCATCTGGTGGCCTTGAACTGCATGCCTTTGGGATTGCAGTGCAGCTTCTTACTATTTCCCTTCATTCTTCTAGCTTAGTGATTTTTTTTATGGTACCTGCAATTGAATGTTACAGTACCCTTAATTAAGTTCTCATCATCCTAAGCAGAAACTCACAGTGGCTCCCTTCTGCCCCTTCTGGCCCTCCTTCCTGCCCCTGGTGACCCTGAGAGCCTTCGGTGACTATTTATGGAGCAGTCCTTCTCTGCATACATGAGCTTGCTAGAAGTCAGAACACTCTGGATGTTAGCCAGCAACCAGTCACAACATTGCAAGTTAATCACCTCTGTGCGATACTTTGTAAATTATGCAATCACTTTGCGACCCTGTAACATCACCTGCAATGGGCCTTTCAGAATGAGAACACATTTATTTCTTTTTCAATAATGCTTCATTGTGTTATTCCTGAAAGTGTACATAATAAATTAGGCTACCAGTTGGCATATCAGGAACAAGAGAGCAGGAAAAAAGCAAAGTCTCAGAGAAGAAACTTGTCTATGGGGCAAATAGTCTACCATAGACCAGAAAGGTTAGATGGTACCCTGCCACCATTACTGATCCTTCTGACCAGAGGTAAGACAGATGGGCTTGGGGAGAGTGGTAGAAATCTGTGGGATGTGTTCAGATTCTTAAGAAATCCAAACCTATAGGACCAACAGAATCCTTGAGGCTGTCTCTCAGAGATTCCCTTTACACTGATATGGTACACTGAGACCACTTTCAGTGAAATAACAGAGTGGTATACAAATTAAGGGACCCATTCATGCAGTGCTCTGCTCAAAAAAACACACAAAAAACCATCTACGTGGGACAAAATGGTAAATAAAACCAACCCCCTTTGTGTCTAATGATTCTGAAACAGAAGAAGCTGATTGTGTGCCTATCTTCTTTAAATGCCAGCTTCTCATCTCCTAGATAAGCAAGAAGCCCAGGCTGTTATCCTCCTACACTGTCTAGGAGTGGGCCAGTGGGGAAGTCACTGACAGAGGCGTCCTTCTGAGGTGGGAGGAGTGCAGAGGGAGTTAGAAAGAATATAATGTTTGGGTGAAGACAGGTGTTAATAAATGATTGTTGTTGTTGTTAGGTGCCATCATATCAGCTGTGACTCACAGCAACCCCAGGTTCAACTGATAGAAGCCCTGCCTGGTCCTGGTCCATGTTGACAGCATATTTGAGCCCATTGCTGCATCCACTGTGTCACTCCATCTCACCGAGGCTCTTCTTTTTTATTAACCTCTCACCAAGCATAATCTCCTTTCCCAGGCACTGATCCTTCCATAATCTATGATGTGACTTCTGATCATCCTGATTGTACTTCTTTCAACAAAGATTAGTTTTTTCTTAGGGTAATCCACTCAATATTCTTCACCAAGAGCACAATACAAAGGCTTTACTTCTTCTGTCTTTCTTAGTCTTTGCCCATGATGCAAAGTACCATGTCTTGAGGCAGGTGCACCTTAATCTTCAAAGTGATATCCTTGCTCACTGACACTTTAAAGAATTTTTTAGCAGTAGATTTATCCATTACAATATATCATTTGCTTTCTTGATTGCTGCTTCTTTGGGTGTTAATTGTGTGTTGTTGGTCCTAGTAAAGATCAATTTGATAGAACTGGAAAATGATTGCACCCTTTCCAGCTAAAAGCAGCAGAGATTATTCTTAAGTTTGTCCTTCCTGAAGCCTTCACAGAGGCACATACCTTGACTTTTGCTGTTAAAATGACTGTCCAGCCAACCATGAGTCTCAAACAGCCCTTGGCTTCCCAGGTAGTTTGGTTTACAGAGGAGTGAGTGTGCACCTGGCATCTTCATCTCTGAAATCGGTGCTATCTTGGCATAGGACACCAGGTGTTCCAGCAGCAGAACTGTAGACTGAGTGGACTGGTATTTCAAAGAACATGGGCATTTCTGGATGTGAATAAAAGCATGATTGCTGACACCATGTCAAAGCAAGCACCAAGAACAGAGTTTCAGTGAATCTTGCTGTTTATTTCCCATTAAGCCTGACTGCTAAACCTCATGGTGATAGAGCTGAGGACTGGGCTGCTAACCAGAAGGTTGATGGTTCAAGCTGCCCAGCCGTCCCACAGGAAAAAGACCAGGAGATCTGCTTTAGGAAAGACAGCAGCTGAGGAAGTCCTCTGGGGCAGCCCCACTTTGTCACATGGGGCCGTGTTCCATCACAATCTACTCATAATTCCTGGTCACAGATTTCAGTTAGGGTTCCCTGATGGTGCAGCAGTGAACCAGGCAGCTGCTCATCAAGTGGCTTCGTGGGAGAAAGGCTGGGCATTTGGCTTCTGTCAAGATCACAGTCCAGGAAGCCTTGTGGGACAGTTTTGCTCTGCCACACAAGAGTTAGAATTGATGACATGGTACCTGTCAACAGTAACATACTTCAGGGAAGGTTCCTGAGTGGGGCAAGTGTTTGGCTACTAATTGAAAGCTAGATATTTTAACCCTGCCCCTTCTGCCTGGTAACTTTGTGAGAGAAAGGCAGTCTGCTTTCCTAAAGATTATATCCTAGAACAAGCCCATGGGGTAGTTCTACTCTGTCAGCTGATATCCCTGGGTTGAAATCAACTCAATGGCATCCAGCAGCAACCATGAATATGGTGATGGTAATGGAGATAGTGATGATAGGTCCTTAAGGTCATGCCACAAGGGATAGATCTGAAAGTCAAAACAGATGACAGTCTGGGCACTTATCGACGTCCACAGGCTGTGAGGTGACATGATGAACCACAGACTGCAGTGAGCTGTAACCCACCTAATGGAAGGATAATGTAGCACTTCCTACACTTCTAGATGTGCCTCTGATTGTAACAGTGTCTGCAGACAGCTGGTCGGGCAACACAACCATTAAAATGCTACATTGTCTAATATAATCATCAACCATGACAATAAAAACAGCAAACGGTCATCAGGAAAAAATCCACAGGGGTCAGAATCTACCTTTTGTTAGTGATGTTTTCTTGGTAATTTTCTTTGTTCTGTTGCCAAGATTGAGAATGCCAGGCTAGAGTAAATATTAGAGCTAATTTGCTGGCTACGTGTAAGTGAATTTTCTGGAATGTTATGAGCGCTGCTATCATAAAGACAGCAGAACGCGTAATAAAGTTTTCAGAAGCAGTGATTGCACATTTTGCTGTTCCATTAAGCCATAATAATTTAAGGTCTGTTAAATGTAAGGTCGTTTTTCAATCTATTACCTCCTATTGAAGAGGAAAGCCTCTGATGACTCTTTAAGAGGATAAAGAATTTAATTAAAATTAGCATGGCTGCCATACAATTAGCAGTCAGAAGTTTCTAGATCAATTTACCATTTCCCGCTATAAAGATGGGGTCACCCGGGGCTTGACCAGCTCATGGCTTTCCAGCGGATCAATGTATCAGACACCAAAGCAGTGACTGGTTTCAGTTTTTCACATTTATTACCACTTGGGGTTGAATTGGTTCCGACTCCTGGTGACCCCGTGTGTCCAAGTGGAACAGTGCTCCATGGTGTGGTCAGTCTCTGATGTCATAGATATTTAAGCCTTTCTTCCGAGGCTGCTCCGGGTGGACTTGAGCCTCTGACCTTTGGTTAGAAGCCGAGCCTATTGACCCTTTATATTGTCCAGGGACTCCGTCAGGTGTGCCACTTTTCTGGGGGGAAAAACAAAAGAGGAAGAAGGAGCCTTTGAAATACACGGGCTCCTCACCAACTGCCTCATTCCTGACACTTCTCATTTGCGACTGAAGTGAAAAACTGTCTGACTTGCACATTAACAATGAGGTTCAAGGCAAGTGTGGTCAAGGTTATGTCAAACCTCAGGTGGCTTTTTGCAATGATTCAGTTTGACAATTATGTGATGATAGGATTTTGCCATTGTATGATGATGAAATTTGGCAATAGTAATATACCATGCAATAGCTTGCCTCCAGAAACCCTATGAACCTGGAGAGAGGATGAGAGACACCCAAGCGTTGAGGACTCTCCTTCATAGGGTCACTATGAGTCGCCTGCGACTCGATGGCACTTAACAACAATAACAATATAACATATGGAGCTCTGGTGGCTTAGTATTAAGAAGCTATGCTGCAGTCCCAAAAGCACGCAGTTCGAATCCACCAGTTGCTCAGCGGAGAAGGAGGGGCAGTCTCCTACAGTGCGATTAACTACCTTGGAAACCCACTGGAGGATCAGCCGTAGGATGGTTCTGGCTTGATGATACACAACAACCACTTAGCATAACTTGCAACCTTGTTTAAGAAGACCCTAAGTGTGTCTGCTCTGTAGGCAGGCCTGGAGATCAATGGGAAGCCAGAGACAACTCACCAGTTTTATCCTTTACTCTTTTTCCAAGCGTGTAAGTGTGCCACTTCACACCTTCCAGAAGCAGCAAACATGCTAAACCCCGTCTGTGTTGTTTTTTTAATTCCCAGGTGATGAGGTCCAGCTGTTGTTTGCTTGCCACTTGCTTCTTGTCAAACCCACCGGCAGTGACGAGGCCAGCTGCCAGCACATCTGTGTGGGACCACTTTGTCACACGTCCCTGTCTTTGCCTCTCGTAGGGTACCCGAAGCAGAGGCCGGCTGCGCCCCGAAACGGGTTCCCGCCCAAGCCTGACCTGCAGGCGCGCGAGGCCGAGAGGCAATTTGTGCAGCGGCTGAAGGACAAGTGCGAGGAGCAGGCACGGCAGCTGGGGCTGCTGCGGGCGGAGCTCCGGACGGCCGTCTGCGGCTTCGGCGCCCTGGCTGTGGCCACGCAGCACTTCTTCCGCAAGGTGAGGGTGCGACCGGAGCCCTAGCACCGGGCAGCGCATGCTGGTGTCCTGGATGTGTGTGCTTACGGGAGCTCTGATGATGCAATGATCAAAAAGTTCAGTGGTTCAAACCCACCAGCAGCGCCGTGGGAGAACGATGCAGGTCACCTGCTTCTGTAGAGATGCCAGCCGGTGGGCAGCTCTTTCCTGCCCTGCACGGTCGCTGTGAGTGGGAACAGACCCAACACAAGCAGATTGGGTTTTGTTCATAGTTATAGTTTTGTCTATAATATATTCATGTTCACATGTATATAAATATATGCTATATAGATACATGACACATATACTTAGCAACTCAACTCATTGCCACCAACTCATAGCTAACTCTAATGGGTGTTTAGAGACTGGAAATCATGCAGAAGGAGATGGCCTATCTTTTTCCTTTGGAGAAACTGATACATTCAAACTGCCTGCCTTTGGGTTTGGTAGTGCAACTTCTTACCCACTAGGACACCTTATGATAACTGCGGGCACGGACTCTGGTGGCCTAGTGGTAAGAAGCTGCATTGCAGTCCCAAAGGCACACAGGTCAAGGCCACCAGACACTCTGTGGGAGAAGGATGGGCAATCTCCTCCTGGGTGATTAACTGCCTCTGGAAACCCGCCAGTGTGGCAGTTATGGGTCGGTTCTGACTTGACAGTAACAATAACAACATGTGTGTATGTATGTATGTGTGTAGTTGTGCTGGTGGTTGTTGTTATGTGCCATCAAGTCACCTGTGACACATAGTGACCCTATGTACAGCAGCCCTGAAGCCTGTCCTGTCACACTGACTCTGACACACCAACTCCCATTTCCCCAGTGACTGTATCAACCCATCTCATCCAGAGTCTTCCTCTCCTGCACTGTCCCTCCACCCTTCCGAGCATGATTGTGGATGTAAATAAAATGAAATCCTTGACAATGTCAATCTTTTCTCCATCTGTTATTACTTGCATTCGCCATGGATTAATTAAACTTTTCAGCTTCTTAATTTAGGAGTTGATGGTGCTTTTGCCCTTCACCAGGAGCAGGGCAAAGCACATTTGAAAGAAGCCAGGATGCTACAACTGTTAACCCAACTGCTTACGTAAAGGCTGGCAGTTCAGACTCACCCAGCGACTCCTCAGAAGAAAAGCCTGGCTGTTTGCTTCTGAAACTTCTGTCACTGACACCCTGTGGAGCTCAGTTCTGCCATGTTACACAGGAGTCACGTGCATCAGAGACCTCCCAAAGGCAGCTGGTGTTTTGAGTCCTTAAGTAGCATGAATAATTTACACACTTGACTGCAACCAGTAGGTTGGTGGTTCAGGTCCACCTGGAGCACCTTGTAAGAAAGGTCTGGTGATCACTTCCAAGAAATCACAGCACCTGGCTATGCCCTCCAGACCATTTCTACTCTGACACCCATGGAGCTGCTGTAAATCAGGGTTGACTCGACAGCAATTGGTCTGATTTTCTCCCACCACAATCGATCCTAGACACTCATGGGGGATGGGTTCTAGGACCCTGCCTCCTCTTGGATCCCTGAATCTGGGGGTGCTCAAGTTCCTCGTATAAAATGGTGTAGACTCAGGCCATGGTCTTCACAGTTACTTGGCTGTGCGTTAGAGAGCTGGACAATGATGAAGGATCCGAGTAGAAGCATTGATGCCTGTGAACTGTGCTGCTGGAGAAGAGTATTGAACAGACCATGGGCTGCCAGGAGAATGAGTCTTATCCTAGAGAAGGTGAAACCAGGTTGCTCCTGGAGGCAAGGATTTTGAGGCTCCATCATATACTTAGGGCATGTTGCCAGGAGGGACCAGTGCTTGAAGAAGGACATCATGCTTGGAAGGGTGGAGGGACACACGGGAGAGGAAGACTCTGGATGAGGTGGATTGACACAGTAACTGGGGTTAGAGTGTCAGAGTCAGTAAGACTGACTCAGGATGGGGCAGGGTTCAGAACTATTGTACATAGATATGGTCATTATGAGTTCCAGGTGACTCGGCAGCACATAACAACAACAACGTTATTTTCATGTTGCCCCACACACTTCCTCCCATATATTTTATATTATCTCTCAATTATTTATGGGAGCTCTGATGGCCTAGTGGCAAGAAGCTGCACTGCAATCTCATAGACACGTGGTCTGAGGCCACCAGCTGCTCCACGGGAGAAGGATGGGCACTCTCCTCCCATGCAATTATCTGCCGCTGTACACCTGCTGGAGGGTCAGCTATGGGTTGATTACAGCTCACCAGTATGCAACAACAACAAATTACTTATAATCTGTCATACAGTGAAAAACCAGACCCACTGCTCTCCAGTCACTTCTGATCTACAGCACCCATCCATCGAGCTTCGGAGGCTGTAAATCCTTACAGGAGGGGCCTGCCTCATCTGTCTCCCAGGGAGTGGCTGGTGGGTTTGAACTATCAACCTTTTGGTTGGCAACAGTACATGCAATCAACTATGCCACCAATTCATACATTGTAAATGTTTTGTAAATAGTACTTTCCAGACTGTTTCTTAGCCTTTGAGAGATTGTTTTGATCACTTAACTGCTTTTTTAGAGTTTTCTTTTTTTTTATTTTTACCTTTGGAATACTTCCAATCTGTGGTTGCTTGACTCAGAGAATGAAGGAGTCATGGATGTGGAGGACCAGCTGCATGTGTTTCTGTGTGCCCATCCACAGACTTCCTGGAGCAGAAACTCTCCACAACCAATGTGTTTTCCAGGGTCTGTGCATTTCATTTCCCCACAGCATACAAACACATGGCTCGTAAATCAGATGGAGGGGGGCTAACAGATGATGTGGGCCTCTCTGTTGGGCTGTCCTGTGCACTTCACATGGCAAGATGGATGACAAACATGAATTTTATTTCAGTAAATTGCAACAAGCACCTTCACACACAGCCCTTAAATGACCACTGCATTCCGCCTCCCAAATCCATATCATCCTTTGTCTTCTGAACTACAGCTTCCCAGATAAACTCCAGGGAGAGAGAAATGGATATGCTGCTGCTGTTGTTATTTGCTTTCAAGTATGACTCATAGCGACCCTATGAACAACCCTGTCCTTTCCTGTGCCAGCCTCACAGTCCCTGACACACTTGAGCCCCTTGCTACAGTCTCTGTGTCAATCCATCTCATTGACCTTCTTCCTCTCTTTTGCTCACCCTCCCCCTTTTTAAGACATTCTGGTGGCCTAGTGGTAAGAATCTGTGCTGCAGTCCTGAAGGTGCACAATTCAAACCCACCAGCTGCTCTACTGGAGAAGGATGGTCAGTCTCCGCCAATACGGTTTCTGCCTTTAAAATCTTGATGAAGGGTCATCTGTGGTTCAGGCTGACTCAGTGGCACACAACAATAACAAGCTTTCTGAGCATGATGTCTTCTTCAAGGACTAGCCCTTCCTGACAACATGCCCAAAGTATGTGAAATGAAGTTCAAGTGCAGTCCAAGTCACCTCTGTCTTGTTCAGCCTATCTTCTGTGTCTGGCGAGGGGTGTACTTTAAGAAAAGAAATATTTTCTAATTAATCTGTTGAGTTGCTGCAGTATATCTTTTTTCCAGAATGTTCTGACATGTTATTAAATGTGTATTGGAAGAAAGTAACACATGGAACCAGTTACTGTGCCCTGACTCCTGGTGGACCTTGTGTATCAGAGTAGAGCTGTGTGCTGTGGCTGTTTTTGATGGGTGTCTGTGTTTTCAGAAGTAGATCACCAGGCCTTTCTTCCAAGGTGCCTCCAGCCTTTTGGTTGCACCATTCAGGGACTCTAATACATAAGACAGCACTAGGAAAGAGGATTCAAAGCCCAGACAGAATTTGCATTTCTGCCCTGGGATCTGGCAGAGCAGCTGTGAACACTGTCAGCTGTGATACAGCAACTCCTCATCTGCGGGGATGCTGAGATGCCAAATTGAGGTGTTGACAATGACTTAACACCTGCACAGCAAGGCTGAAGTGCACTCCCAGACCTCAGGATGCAGGGATCAGCGAGTCTCTCTGGGACCCACACTTCTAGGTATCTGCGCACTAGTGGGCTGGTTCATGGAACACTGCTCTTTAGCGGCCCCTCGTGGTGAACACGAGAAACAGCACAGAAAATGGTCCTGCTTGCTTTTTACGTTTATATTGATTTGCCCACCAAGTTCATATACATTGTGTTTCACACTACTCGTCGTTCATATTGTGTTTGATACAATCATTCCCATGCATTACAGTTTATAAAATCAATCACTGTTGGGCTTGCTTTCTAAGTGGTGCTGCGAGTGGGAACAGGAACAAGAAGAGATTACCCATCTTCTCTGACAGAGATGCTGGTGGATTCGAATCGTCTGTCTTCAGGTTGGCAGTGCAGCTCCTTAGCACTATGCCACCAGCACGCTTTATACTGGCAGCATAGTCTGTGGGGAGTTGCACTGCCACCCCAAAGGCAATGTCTCCTTGGGGGTTCGAGTATACCAGTATGGGGAGAAAAATGGGCAGTCTCCTCCTCCCGTGAGATTAGAGACTCTGAAAACCCACTAGAGGATCAGCTGGGAGTCAGTTCCAACTCCATAGCCATGAGGTTTTTGAGTTATTTATGTTTTCTTTTCTAGGGGTTCAGCGTTTAGATGTTATGTGAAAGGTCAGTGCTTTAAACCCACCAGCCACTCTCCAGGAGAGCTAGGAAGCAGTCCTGTTCTGTAAAGAGTGGTTCCACCCTGTCCTTTGGGCCATGAGATGGAATCAACCTGATGGCAGTGGATTTGAACTTTTTGGTGTGGTAGTGAAATGATTAAGTGCTTGGCTTTTAACACAAAGGTCGGTGATTCAAACCCAGCCACAGCTCTGTGGGAGAAAGACCAAGTGATCTGTTCCTTAGAAGATTTCAGTGGAGGAATCCCCATGAGGCAGTTCTGCTCTGCACTGTAGAGATGTTATGAGTCAAAACTAATCAGTGACAGCACAGCAGCTGTTTTGCATTACTTTTTTATTTATTATTC